TCCTGGCATAGTGTATCCATGAACCTAGAAGGCATCCTAATCCACCACCAAGGTGTTCTTTTTCTCATCCATCCATCCATCCATCCATCTATCTATCTATCTATCTATCTATCTATCTATCTATCTAGATATCTATCTAATTTTTAAAGATTTTATTTATTTATTATGTATACAACATTCTGCTTCCTTGTATATCTGCACACCAGAAGAGGGCATCAGATCTCATAACGGATGGTTGTGAGCCACCATGTGGTTGCTGGGAATTGAACTCAGGACCTCTGGAAGAGCAGTCAGTGCTCTTAACCTCTGAGCCATCTCTCCAGCCCCTATTTATTTATTTTTGAGATAGAATTTCACTGTGTAGCTCTGACTGGCCTGGAGCTAGCTGTGTAGATCAGCTGGCCTCGAACTCATGGAGGCTTGCCTGTTTTTGTCTCTGCCTCCTGAGAGTGTTGGGATTAAAGATGTATACCACCATGCCTGGCCATCACTGAGGGTTTCTGTGTAGGGTTTCATTACATGGGCATGCCTCATTAAATCAGTGGCTATTGGCAATTAAACTTACTTTAGCCCCCTCTTGTTCCTGTAGGTCTCAGATGGAGCTGAAATTTCCAACCTGCTACTCATTGCCAACTTATTGAAAACTCTAAGGGCCCACCTTGATTCATTTCATTAGCACAAATTCTGACATGGTTGGAAGAGGCTCATCAGGTATTAGAAGCCTCCTGTCACTAATATTGCAAGGGAGTTAGGAGCTCAGGAATTAGGACTTAAACCAAGGGTATGAAGTCTATGCATATATATCATGTATATGTATATGTATATGTATATATACACACACATATATATGTGCTGCAATATAGATAGTGCATGCAAATGTTTATACTATACTAGTAACTAAAGAGGACATTTTGTACCGCAGTCAGGTATCATTTTTATTTTGGGGTAAAGCTTTGGTTTATACTCCTTGCGGAGGAGTGCAATATAAAAAGGGAAATAAAATCACTTGTCATCCTATTGCCTGGTATTTATTTTCTAGTCCTTTTTATATGACTATATATGACACTCTGTCTTGCTCTTCTCATTGCAGAAGTGGTATTTGCCTATTACAAAGCAATCTGAAGAGTACAGAACACCTGAAGTTGTAATTATTATTTTTTTAAGAATTGTTCCTCATGGGGAGGAACCTGCTGTTGTAGGCTGAGAAGGGTCAGGTGGATGCCATGGGCAGAGTTGGAAGACTGCAGAGTGTGGAAGAGATTAGTCTATTAAGAAAGTTCACTTTATTTCTGTGTTAAGGTGTACTCCCTGCTGTAATCCCAGCATTTGAGAGGCTGAGGCAGGAGGATGGCCAAAGGTTCAAAACTAGCCTTGCTAACTAATGAACAAGACCATATCTGAAAAACAAATATAAACAAACAAACAAACAAAAAACCTTTCTAAGAACAACCCCATTTTCAGGGATGAAGAGCTATTTGTAGGGTGGGAGGGAATTACAGAGTTAATGAACAGGTATGGCTGGTGTGGCTAATTTCCAGGACAGTGTTTGTTTGTTTGTCAGGATTGATTGTAATCTGCTTCCTGTCTGGATGGACGGGTTGTTCTGATCCCGTTGCCTTGCTCATTCAGACACTTAACACTGTTGACCCTTTGTGGGGGTGGGGTATAGGATCTGTGCCTGTGTAAGATCTAGTTAAGCTCATTGTCATATATTGTATCAGCTGGGGCTCAACTGCTTTGTTGGACAAGAAAAGACAAAAGGAGATTGGCACTTGGTGCAATCTTCAAAACCCACTGTTGAGAGTTTTCAGTTAGAATATATTCATTCATTTGGGCACCTGACTGGCTCTATTCAGAAAAGAGACATCTTAAGGCCGACAGTTGTGTGTGTGTGTGAGTGTGTGTGCATGTGCACACACGTGAGTATGCACTTGAGGCCATCATTCAACATCAGATATCTTCCTTGATTGCTTTCAGCTTTATTTCCTTTGAGACAGGATCTCTTACGGAGCCTGGAGCTCACTGATTCTGCTAGATGGGCTGCACCTATCTGCACCTTCCCAGCACTGAGATCACAGGTGTGTGCCCCTGTGTCGGCTTGTACATGGGTAATGGGAATCTGAACTCAGGTCCTTATGCTTGTATGGACAATGAAGTCATCTGCAACCCCAAAGCACACAGTTCTTAAGTCTGATATGCAGAGAACTACTTGGGGACAATTAAAAATCTTGATGCCTATGCCAAACTTCATGGGGCTGATGAGATGGTAAGGACACTTGCCATCAAGCCTTGTGACCTGAGTTCAATCCCTGGAAACCACATGGTACAAGGAGAGCATCAGCTCCCCCAGGCTGCAGCACAGATTGATGACATCATAGGATGCATCAAGGCACTGACTGTTATTTCCTGAAGCTTCTCCTACCTCAGTGCCTCTCTGATTCCATCGTGGGTTCAAAGATGAGCAGCAGTCCAGAAAGGGAGGTGTTAGAGTTCTCTGACCTGCCCCGTCCCTGTTCTTTGCAACGGGCAGGGCATGTTTGTAGCTTTTCAGGGGCAGATCATACAAAGCAGACTGAAGTACAAGGAGCCTAAGGTTATGATTGTAGTCAAGTCGTTTTCATACTGTTGTGCATTCCAGGAGTGCTCAAGTGTTTGATTGGACTGTCACAATGTATGTGTATGTGCGTATTTAAGTTTCATAAAAGTACCCAAAACTTGCTGGGAGGTGGTGCATAAGCCTTTAATCCCAGCACTTGGGAGGTAGAGGCAGAGGCAGGTGGATCTCTGTGAGTTTGAGGCCAGCCTGATCTACAAATCAAGTTCCAGGACAGTCAGGATTGTTACACAGAGAAACTTTCTGTCTTGAAAAACAAAACAACAAAAATGTACCTAATAGGTGCCAAATTTTAACATTGAAAATTTGTCTTCTCTGTGGCTTTAAATATAGTAATGACTGTCACCAAGCAGATTTACATGTTACTTTGTCCTGCTTAGGTAGTCTCTTCCTGTGTGTGTGTGTGTGTGTGTGTGTGTGTGTGTGTGTGTGCAGGGGGTGCTGGGGTGGAAGGAGTTTCAGTTCAGGGTGTGTGTGTGCACACGCATAGACATACATGAACATGTATACGGAGGGAAAAGTCTATGATGGGTATCTTCCTTAATCACTTTTTTGTTTTGTTTTGGTTTGGTTTGGTTTTTTGAGACAGGGTTTGTCCTTGTAGCTTTGGAGCCTATTCTGGCACTATCTCTATAGGCCAGGCTGGCCTCAAACTCACAGAAATCTGCCTGCCTCTGCCTCCTGAGTGCTGGAATTCAAGGCATGTGCCATCACCGCCTGGCTCCTTAATCACCTTTAGACCTTATTCTTTGAGACAAAGTCTCTTATTATATCTGGAGCTACCCTTGCTGTGCCCACACACAGAAGTTGGCTAACTCTGCTGGCCAGCAAGCCCTAGGGCAGCCTCCTAACACTACCTTCCCAGTGCTGGGATTACAGATGTGGGCTATCGTGCCTAGCCAGTGGGTGCTGGAGCTAAATTCAGCTCCCTATTTTCGTGTGGTAACCAACTAAGCTCTCTCCTTAACCCCTCCCTGCCCTTTGTAAAACAAACAAAAACAAATTATTATTTCTTTTTGTTTGCATAGCTGACCTTTGGGAGTCTGTTGTGCTGCAGACTAGAGGCCCTCTCGGCTGGACTGAGCTGTGCCGCTTAGGATTAACGTTATCCCTCCTCTGTAACAGTCGAGTTGGCTTGAGCTAAGTTTCTGCTGGGCAGAAGGAAAGGTTTCATGGCAGTGGGCTGCAGCTTTGGGTAGTGTGAGCAACCATGATGTGCTCATTCATAGGAGGCTACCAGAATGTCCTTGAGTGGTTGTCAAACAAGGTCTGTCTCCAGATCCAGGTCCCTTGTGTGCTTCAGCCACTTTGAGACAGCATCTTTTTATTGAGTACTGATTGGTGAGAGGCTTTATAGACATCCCATCTTTTTCATCTTGCACACGAGGAAACTGAGGATTGGAGGCCTTAAGAAACTGATCCAAGGTTTCAGCTGGTAAGGGACAAAGCCAGTGTTGCAACATTGTCTTCTCTGAAGTCCTTTTGTAAGATGAGACCAAGGTCTGGAGACAAATGCATGCCCACGATGACACGGCTATGTCTGGTCTGAGCTGTGCTGACTTCTGAGGCCAGGTCTCAGATGCTCTTTCTGCCATGCATTGCTGTCTCTGCCATCTGCCACACCCAGCTGCTGCCCAGGGAGCATGCAGAGAGGTGCCTCTCCATGTTTGAGTGGCTCAGGAATGGTCAGCTACAGCAATCCATTTTCCTCCTCCTCCCATCTTAACCCTCCTTCCTCTTCTTTTTTAGTTTTTTGAGACAGGGTTTCTCTATGTGTAGCCCTGGCTGTCCTGGAACTTGCTCTGTCTCTAGTCTGAGGCTGGTCTTGAACTCACAGTGATCCACCTGCCTCTGCCTTCTGAGTGCTGGGATCAAAGGTGTCTGCCTCTACCACCCAACTAGCAATCCGTTTTCTACTGTTGTAATAAAATCCCCAAGCGGAATGTTTTATTTTAAAAAGCAGTTTGTTTAGCCCATGCTTTTAGAGAACAAAGGCCAAAGACTGTTTGTTGGCCCTATGTGTTCAGTTTCTGGTGAGGACCCACTTGACTGTGTCACAATGTGGTGATGGTACCCTGGCAGGAAAATGTAGTGTGCAAGAGTGAGGAACCATCTTATAGTGAGGTAGGAAGCCACAGATGGAGGATTTGGGTTTTTTGCTTGTTTGCTTGTTTTTCAATAATAGTGCACCCTTGTGGAAGCTAACTCATCCCAGCTATTTGCATTGATCCCTTCCAGTGTTCCCCTGACCTCTTGACCTTGCCCTAGTTCCCAGCTCTTAAAGGTTCCAAACCACTCTCTTCTCCCTGCAAAGGCTCAGCTTCCAGCATATGAACCCCTTCCTTGTGGAGTACATTCAGACCCTGTCAGAAGCATAGCAGATGGCATGGGCCGAGAAACTTCAGTCTCCATGTTTAACTTCTGCCCCTGCAAGAGGATACAATGTGAGGGGCATAGAGGGGGTAGGCAGAGTCAGAAGTGACCTTGGGGAGCTATGCCAGAACCAGGAGGCAGGGGCTTGGTGGGCCAGTCAGAGCTAAGGGCCCAAGGGCAGCTAACTGTGTTTCTAGTCTTCCCATGCCCTGTCCCTCTCTGCTTTGTCAGCTGGTGGGAGTCTACTCAGTTTCACATTCCTCATTCCCTATAAACCAGCAGCCATCGCAGGATCTGCTTGCCTCCATCTGTATAGGGAAAAGGAGATGCTCCTTGGGATGAGCTGGAAATAAAGAACGCAGCCAAAGAAAGACTCAATGACTTTCTTGGGCCAGCCCTGCTAATCATGGGAGAAACATTTAATTTCAGCCAGATTACAAGACAGTTGCTTTTATTTGTTTTTGGCTGGATTTGTGCCAAGGATTCAACTTTTCCTGTTCATTTTATTAAAAACTTTATAAACAGCATTAATAAATAGATATAAAACTGCCTTATAAATGACAGAGAGACCAAATGAAATTCACAAGGGTCAGTGTTGAATAAGTAACAGAGCCTCGTCCTTGTGCGATCAAATTCTCATATATGCAAATTAGATACAGAGCTTTACTACAGTGTTTTAATTAATATTTATAAATCACAGAGTGCCTTAGAAAGGGCCAGTAACCTATTTATATTGCCATAATGTCACACAAATAACAAATCCTCTGGGGACTGTGGTCTGTTTTGCATTTGGTCAGAAAAGTAAACATATTGTTGTGTCTGTCTCCCCTTAGGTGCGGTGTCAGCACAGCGACAGGTCACCGTCCAGGAGGGACCCTTGTATCGCACAGAGGGCTCCCACATCACCATTTGGTGCAATGTGAGTGGCTACCAGGGCCCCTCTGAGCAGAACTTCCAGTGGTCCATTTACCTGCCCTCTGCCCCTGAACGCGAAGTGCAGATTGTTAGCACAGTGGACTCCTCCTTCCCTTATGCTATCTACACCCAACGAGTCCTAGGTGGGAAGATCTACGTGGAGAGAATCCAGGGGAACTCAGCCTTACTTCACATCACAGAGCTGCAAGCCCGGGATGCAGGGGAGTATGAATGTCACACCCCTAACACTGATGAGCGCTACTTTGGAAGTTACAGTGCCAAGATGAACCTAGTGGGTAAGGAAACACTACTTCTGGGTGGCCAGTGTCAGGCCTGAGTTCCTTCTGTTGCCATACACCTTTGCTACCTACTGTATGAATAAAAAAAAAAAAAAATTCCCTAAATATCTTAGAATGCATTAGGAAGCATAAGTGAATACAGTTTCTGTGTACACTTGTGAACACTGTTTTAAGGCTGGCACTTGGGAAAGTTCTCATGCAAACATTAAGAACTTCAGTAGTTAACCAGACCTTTCCTGGTGAAAGGCAACATGAGTATATAAAGGCAAGATCCGAGTGTGGTGCTGCATGCCTATAACCTCAGCATCCAGGACTGCCCTGTAGCAAGGACGTTTGTGGGTGACATTTTGGATGCATGGCTTGAAGGTAAAGTGGGTGAGATCAGCAGGAAGGAGGCAAAGCCCCTGTAGAGCAAGGGCAAAGCTCCCACCCCTGCAGAAGGAAGCGACGGTAGATCTAACAGGAAGATCACAACAGGAGTGCAGTAATGTGTATGAGGGAAATCTCAGGGGAGTTTCTGCTCACATACTGTGAGTTCCAGATGCTCAGAGGGGAGAGAGAGTGAGAAGGGAATGAGACTATTTTGAGGTACAGTAAATGATTTTAGTGGACAGCCTGGGTGGATTCTCAGACAGTCGTAGTAATGGTTCTTTTAGGAACCAAGTGGATTTCAGAGACAGACAGTAGCTTGTGACTGAAGCTGACCAAGAGCAGGTGTGTTTTTTAAATTTCTGCCCTGTCGATATGCGTTTAATAGCAAATCCAGACAAGAAATAGTAAGAGCTTTAGCAGGCCTGATGTTTGGGCAGACAGGCACTGGAATATCGCTGCTTGAAGCATCTACCACTATCCAGAGGGCCTTACTTTGATATGAGGTAATCGGAACACTCAATTTTGGGTCCTTACTTCGGGGTGAAATGGCCTGGACTCCATCTCTCAGAAATGATGAGCAAAAAGGACAGGTTTTGAGGTGCAGGGCGAGAGTAGGGCTCCAGGTACCCAGAGCTCCCTGGCTGCATGCTAAGAAGCTGTGAACTGCCAGTCTCTCTCAATGCTCTCTGTATGCTGGAGAAGATGTAAGCTGGAAGAGAGGGGAACATTTAGTGTGGACAGCCCTGGCTACCCAGTGCTGGTGAGAAAGGACAGCCAACAGCAAGGCTGCTCTGGTTTGTACCCACGTCCTGATCTCTACTTTTCATTTTCATGGTGAAGCAGCATGTGTCGGTAGGTCTTTTGTCAATAAGGACACTACCTTTGCTTATGTTTTACTTCTGTAATGAGCCTGTATCTTTGTAAGAGGACTTTAAGCCTCAATCTTGGGACAGGCATAGGGAGGAAAACCTACCTTGTCATGACTGGAGCGCCTTTATCAGAGTGGGGGTGGCAGTTAATCTTCAGAAAGATAAAAGGTCGGAATAAAACTCCAGTGATGGGACCCAGCAGTGGCTTCATTCGCCTGAGTCCTCTGAGTGCTGTGGCTTCCTTCTGCTGTGGGCCACATTGATGAATCATGAGAAGGCACAGGGGAACAGGCCAAGCTTAGTGGTGCCCATTTGTAATCCAGCCGCTTGGAAGGTTGACACTGGAAGATCACAAGTTCAAGGCCACCTTGGACAACATAGTGAGACTTTGTCTACAAATTGAAGAGGCAGAGTCTGGGTTGTAGCTCAGTGGTGGCGCACTTGCCTGTTAGGCATGAAGTCCTAGGTTCTATTCCCCTGCCCCTGTACAAGGGGAAAATAGGGAACGTTGATGGCTTTCTGTGTTCCCACTCCCCATTGTCGTTCTGAGCACCATGAATTGATGAAGTAAAGTGGGAGATGGGATGGAGAGTGGGCCAAGAAGGGAAAAGGGAAGGTTAGTATGGGAATGAAAGGCAAAAGGCCCAGGAGCCGTTCCCAGTCAGAAGTGAGATTAAGGTATCTCAAAGCAATACCCAAATCAACAATGCAGATCTCAGCGATTACTCTTATACCATATTCTCAGGGAGTTCTTTGTTGTATACATTTTCAAAATAAAATCCATCTTTTCTCTGAGTGTCATTAAAATATTAAGCAGGCATCAGCCAATGCCAAAAATATTGGCTATCATACAAAAGGGTATTTAGGTTTATATGCCTTTTGGGGTTGTCTGTGGCCTTGAATTGATTGTCAGAGCTGCCTCTGTTGAGGCAGTAACAGTGGTTTCTGTGTGAAGTAGGGCCCTCACCTCTTGGAAAGTAAGTCTCAGATTCTGTAGCCTTGTAACTATCCTCTGTGGGAACATTCTATGTTACAGTGATCCCAGATTCCCTGCAGACCACAGCTGTCCCCCAGACTCTGCACAAAGTGGAACACGACCCATTGGAGCTCAGTTGCGAAGTGGCCACTGAGAGCGAACAGCACAGCCACCTCTCAGTATCCTGGCTTCGGCGGAAGGGTGGCGAGAAGCCTGTGGAGGTCATTGCCCTGAGCCGAGACTTCATCCTACACTCCAGCAGCGAATATGCCCAGAGGCAGAGCCTCGGGGAGGTGCGGCTGGACAAGCTAGGGAGAACCACCTTCCGCCTCACCATCTTCCACCTGCAGCCTTCGGACCAGGGCGAGTTCTACTGCGAGGCTGCTGAGTGGATCCAGGACCCAGATGGCTCTTGGTACGCCATGACCAGGAAGCGCTCTGAGGGTGCTGTCGTCAACATCCAGCCTACCGGTCAGTCACTCTCAGCTTCTCATCCTTTACCTGGTGGGGAGTTAGACACGAGGAGGGTGTGGGGACACCTTGTCTGGGTGACATGACCAGGTAGCAGGGTTTTTCGTGAGGTTAGAGATGGTTGTAATGTCAACTGGAGAAAACAAGCATACACAGACCTAACTTGCCATGAGCCACAGACAGCTGCCCATACTGGGTCCCTGCTCATTGCCATGTTTCTTTACTATATGGCATCATACATTATTTTTAATAAGAAATTTGTTTTTTACCAAATAAGAGATTTTGCAGAAAAATGTGGCTGGAGAGAAGGCTGGAGAGTGGCCCAGAGCACTTAGTGCTCTTGTAGAGGACCCAGGTTCACTTCCTAGCTCCGACTTAGTTGTTCACAACTATTCCTAACTTCAGTTCAGGGGATCCTTTGCCCTCTTTTGATCTCCAAGAACACATGTGATATACACATACACATGTAGACAAGACACTCACATGTAAAATAAAATGAGTAAACCTTTTTAATAATTTTTCTTTTAAATGAGAGATTTCACAGAAAATCTTTGTGTCCCATTCCTGTTAGCCATGAATGCCACTCAGTTTGATGATGTTTCGATTGTAGAGGACATTTGAGGTGAAAAGCCTTCTGTTGGATGTGTGAAATGACAAACAAGGGAGATGTTAGTATATTATTATTTTTATATGAATATTCCTGCCATTTTTTTTTTTAGAACTTGTAAAATGTTTTAAGGCATATTGTCATGTCTGTGAGGCGAATTATATGGCTTCCTCACACTGTAGGTGAACATAGTGAATGCAGAACATGCTGTGTGGTGTGACCCGGGGAATAATCAGATTGTGTGCCATGAGGCCGGTGTAGAGTATTAGGTTCTGCTGTGGACATTTTGTCAAGGGAAGGCCTGGGTAGGGTCCCTGAGGTGGAAGATTGGTGTTCTTAGGGCTGAGGTAGTGATGGTGGCCTGGCAAGCCGAAGTCCTCCACAGCTTCTCCTGGTGTTTCCTGAGACTCCAGGTTCTACTCCAGGTTCTTGCCCCTGCAGAGTTCCAGTTAGAATGGATGTGTTGTCAGCTGCATTGGCCGAGCTGGGGCAGGCTCTCCTGTGGGCTTGGCTTTGGTTGGAGGATGGTCATCGTGTTGTCACTGGGGTGGTGGAGGACCTTTTCTCCTCTTTCTGCTGAGGGCTGTTGGTCCTGATGAGGAGAGGAAGTTTCTGCATCACAGGTGGTGGCGCTCTTGTCAGAACCTGCCTCTTGTCCCCCTGTCCTGGTGGTCACTTACCTTGGTCCTTGCACGGTGCTGTGGCATTTGAGAGCAATGCTTCAGAGTCACCTAATACCAAACCCTCCTCAGAGACTGCTGGGGGTGGGGCTGGGAAGCTGTGTTTCTGATGTACTGACTTCCCACATTGTTCTTTACCTGTCTCCTGTTGTAATTTAAAAACAGTAGCTTGAGAGAGAGAAGGACACCGTCTGACAGGATTCAAACAGAGCGGTTTTTTTTTTTTTTTTTTTTTAATTAGGGAAAGAGATCATATAAAATGGAAAGGGGAGGGGGGAGACTGTCCCCTGAACAGGTGGTTGGTTCTCTTGATGGCTGCAGCTGAGGGTGTATCCTGCCAGAACCCCAAGGACAGGCCAGTACAGATGCCTGAACACTAACAGCTACATTTTGTCTTGCACAGCTCTAGAGGAAGCAGGGCAAAGAGCATCCTTTGGACACCTAGTGGGTATGAAAGAAAGCAAAAGAAGGTTGGATTCTTGGTGAGAAGGGCACACTTGATCCATACTTAGGACCAGGGCTCTTAGTGGCTTCTGGATCTTCTAATATTAAATTTATCCAAGAGGCTTTAGTTCCTGTTTATCATTTTCCTTCCTGGTTGGTTTTAAGGTCAGTGTCAAAAAAGTCTGGGCCTAATTTCAGGACTTAATGCTTTTAAATTAGGTTGCATCAGCTAATCTTCTTTATTTTAATCTTACCAATTTAGAATTAGGATAGTTTGAATTTGTCCTGCAAATATTTCCAGACTAAGCCAGCAAAGGAAAATATTAATGGAAAAAAATGTTGATAACTTCACTGTGTGTTTCTGTACAGGCTCCAGGAGTTTCACTCCAGTCTTTTTCTTCATGTTTATTTTCACAGACATTAGTCTTTATTGCATTGAAGGTGTGGTGCGAGCATCGGGGGATGCCAAGGTGAATGACATTGCTCTGTGCACTTAGGGTGCTAAGTGCTGGGTGAATAGTGAAAGCTGTTTCTGCTCTATGTTTTCTTTGCATAAGGTGGCTGTTATAGCAAATCTGGGAATTCCAGTTTCTCTGGTGACTTGATCTGTGTCAAGGTTGAGCAGACAGCAGCAGGAAATGTGGGAGGGAATAGGTCGTTTGGTAGGTGGCGGGCAGAAGAAAGTCAAGTGACCAGATGTTGAGATCTAGATTGAGCAGTAGGGAAGGGAAGGGAGGGTACTTGCAGCTATGTGCTATGAAGTAGAGCATGGACTTGACACTGGATCAGGCGTTGTCAAGCAATTCTTGGAACTATAGGGGGTCACATGCACGTGTGGGAACTAATGGGTAGAGGACAAGAACCTGTCTACCCCTCTTTTGCTTTAGCCAAATGTTTGCCCTATTGATCAGTAGAAGATTTTACATGAAGAACCTCTTGAAGTTTGAAAACTCTCACTGCAGGGAATAGAGATTTTGACCAGGAATTGACCACCTGATTCGGTAATTTAGAAGGAAGAGCTCAGGCTTGTGTGTGTGTGGGTCATGTGTAAAGTTATTAGAAAGGGTGGTTATGAAGTCAAGAGACAGGGTTGTGAAGAACTCATAGGGCCAGGCTGTGGTGGTCTGGGAGGGGGGACCTGGTGTTAGAGGCAGAAGGAAAGAGAGGCGATGAAGGAATTGTCTGTGATTCACTGAACTGTGGGAAGAAAAAGCAGATGAAGGGTCATGAGGACAAGCAGAGCCCTGCTGGGAGGTCTGCTTACTTGTTAGTGGCAGCACTGGTTGTCTTAGTAACCAAGTAGAGGGATCTACCTTGTAAGCAGACTCTCAGAGACATTCACAGCACCACATAGCCGTTGTGTCATTGGACATGCACATCTGGAGCTGTTAAAGACAGAACCTGCAAGTGAGGAGGGCTCTGAAAAGCTCATGGGGCAAGAATAGGAACAAGCTAGAGAGATCCATGGCAGTAGGAGGTGGTCAGAGAACAGGCCCCATTGTGAATGGAGCAGAACGGTCAGGCAAGGCAGGGGAAAGGCAGAAGGGACATGTCTTGGAACTGAGGGAGGAGAGCAATCCCAGAGGCTGGAGCTTGCTCTTGGGGGGGTGAGGATCAGGTCAACCATTGACATCGCTCACTAGGTCAGTGGCCAAGGGACCAGGAAGCCGGATTTCAGTAGGCTAGGAAAAAGGGATATAGAATAGCTTAACATATTCCATAGTCAATTGGGCATAAGCAAGAGCAAATTGCTCTGCAGAAAGGGGGTTTGCATCTATAGCCAGGGTTGTGAAAGCTACATGGAACATGGGGCATTCTCATGGGATAAGCAGTGTCTAGGGCTGCCAAAAGAGGAAATCCAGAGTGATAACCCACTTTGCCTAGGACAAAGGAGAAGATCTGAGGTTCTGGGATCCCCTGGTATACCATTCTGGCAGGCACCTGGATTTAGGGTTACTGGTGGATTATTAATTACTATATTTTATTGATCAGAGGCCTAATGACAATGGATAACATGGATACCGTCTTACCTGGGTGTGTCCCCCTAGCAGACAGTAGTAGAATAAAACCTGCTGCTTTTTGCTGTTCTCTCCCAGGACTGTTTTGTTTGAGATGGGGAGGAGGCCACAGCTGACATATCTGAGGTGTTGTTGAGAGGGCTTTGCTCTGTCAAGAAATTTGGGTAATACAGGGAAAAATTAGTCACTGGCAAGAAATGGTGTCTGGCTCAAGAGACTGACCTGTGTGAGCTGGACTGGAGTAGAGAAGTACTTGCTTGGTTCACACAATCCATTTCCACAGGGAAAGTGGACTCTCACATGCTTCGAGAGCATGGAGGATGGGTTGGAGATGCCTGAGGCGTGGATCTTGAATATGGTAGTGATGGCCTGGAAATGCCCCAGAGAGAAGGCCATTGTGGTGTGGAATCCTTCCTTAGAAAGTTCACACACCACTGTAATGTGATTTCCTCCCATAGTCTGTCTCTACAAGAACATAGCTAGAACTGGAAGGAGCTAGGAGCTACAGGCTCCCACAGCAAGGGGAGATGATGCCACTTCCTCCCAGTCTTAACTTCTCTTCCTATCCCCTCACTTCCACCATGAGTGTGCCTCCTGATACAAGGTGATGTTTCTTGAGTCGACCATGTACTGTTTCTTGGAGATGTGTGATGCTGTTTGCAGTGATGATACCTGCCCCCCCCCCCGCCCCCCGCCCCGTGCGCTACTAGATAGATGGAGCTCTTGGAAGAATTCCTGCCTTGATCCTTGGCCATTTTCAGAGGTGCCTGGCTGTTAGTGGCAGTAGATTCTTTCTGCTGTCTTCTTAAAGTCATGACCTGGCAGGTTGTAGGCTAGTACAAAGACATTCTGTGTGATACAGCTAGTTTGCCTTGCCCATATTTAGTTTTCAGTGTTCTTGTTAGAGTGGTAGAGAGAAGAAGCTCAATCAATTCATCTGACTGTTGACTAAAATTGGGGTCAGCACCTAGACCACTCTAATTTTGTCTCATAGACCTCTGTGAGGTATCTGCTGAACAAACAGACATACATGTAATCATGTTTCTCTAGCAGAGCTTAGGCCTGACCTTTTCTGCCTGCCACCTAAGTGAGGCTAGGCTTGTCTTCAGGCACTGAAGGGTGTAATCTAGTAACATACTCCTTGACAAAGCTTTATTGGTCTAGATGGAAGCAGTAAGCTCCTAAGACTGCCTGGGTTTGGCTGGGACTCTGGTATTTAAGGATTTGTATGGCTGGATTTGGATTTTCTCTCAAGATGAATACTGAGTCATCTCTGTGGTTAGTATCATGAAGAAGTTCAGGGGAATGAGGATTTCCTGAAGCAGTTTGGTGGACTGCAGCCCTCATTTGCCCAGAATGCATCCAGTTTGTTTGTGTTCCCAGACAAAGAGTTTACTGTGCGTCTGGAGACCGATAAGAGGCTGCACACAGTGGGTGAGCCGGTGGAGTTCAGATGTATCCTAGAGGCTCAGAACATTCCCGACCGCTACTTTGCCGTTTCCTGGGCCTTCAACAGCTCACTCATCGCCACCATGGGACCTAATGCTGTGCCAGTCCTCAACAGTGAATTTGCCCACCGTGAAGCCAAAGGACAGCTTAAAGTAGCCAAAGAGAGTGATGGTGTCTTTGTGCTGAAGATATACCACCTCCGCCAGGAAGATAGTGGCAAATACAACTGCCGGGTGACTGAGCGAGAGAAGACTGTCACTGGCGAGTTCATCGACAAGGAAAGCAAGCGCCCCAAGAACATCCCCATTGTCGTCCTTCCTCTCAGTAAGTAGAAGTGCGTCGCTTTCTAGTTCCCAGTGCAGTGGCTAGTGACATCTTGGAGAAGTTATGGGAGAGAGGATAGCTTTAGGGACAAGGGGCAGAATTTGGGCTAAAGATGACCAGAGAGAGGGGCCTCTCCATCTCCTTCAGGCCCAGGTCTACAAAACCTGGAGCTGAAGATGTCTTGGCTGGAGATGGTACCTGCAGACTTGAGCTCAAACAGCTTGGTGTAAAACATCAGCCTTGCCAGCTCAGCTTGGAGGAAGACCAGGAAGTCATTTGCTTCTCTGGGGGAATTAAATCCCAGAAGAAGTTGGGCAGAGGCCTGCCTTGAAATCTCACTTAAGGAGAGCTCATCTCTTACGGGAGGATTTGGGTATCATCTACTGCATTACTAAGAAGGATTTGCTGTCTGGGCTTTTCCAGGTATCAAGGCAGGTATTTCCCTAATTGTCTCTTCTGCACTGAAATTGCATTGCTAAAAGTCAGTGGGTGGTAGATCACTCGCCAGCACAGATGAATTGTTAGGTTCATCCTAATGTGACGAAGTTTGTCAGTGGACGGGGGTCTCTGTCTTCCTGGAATATGCTTCGAGAGCTTGGACCTCTCAGGGCAGTCCCAGGGACTCTGCCTCCATGCACACTGACAGTGTCAGGATGGGTGGTACTCTTCTGGGAACTCCAGAGAACAACAGTGTATGCATGCCGAGTTTAAATGTTCATAGTGTCAAGACGTTCTTATTAATCTCTTTCCTCTCACAGTTCTGTTTTTAGCAAAAAGTTAATCAAAACTTAACAATGCTCTGATTTTAAACAAGATGGTCTAGTTTAAGAACTAACCTTTAACTTTTCTTAGCTCCCAGGACTGTTCCTCCTCTTAGCTTTGTAATGATTTCCTTTACATTTTTATTTACACATCTGTGTATTCAAAATGTTCTGTTAAGTGTGAAGTCCAGAGCAGATGGAGGGGGGCTGTCACCCTTCTTTCTTTTTTCATCAGTGGGATTGTACTTTGAACACACACACACACACACACACACACACACACACACACACACACACACACACCCTTGAACTCTTGTGCTTTCCTCGCAGTTGCATGGTGCTTTGCATAGAGTAGGTGCTTGCTAAATATATGTACAGTTGGAACTATCAAATTGAATGCCCACACTCTTTATCCTGTTGTCCTGTGCTTGCCCTAACCACAGACTCAATACTTTCAACTAATCATTCATTGTTTCGTAAGGATGGCATGAAGGGCAGCCACACTGTTTGCTTCCTTTATCTTTTGTACTAAAAGATTTCCCCCAGCCCTTCCAAGAACTTGTTTGATGATCTGTGGCCTGCTATATTGCTTTTCCAGCAGATAACTGGGTAGTTAAAGTCCCCCAGCAGCACCAGATCCTGCCCCAAGGCCACTTGGGTAAGTCTACTGAAGAACAACAATCAATCGGTAATGGTGATAATGCCCTGGACTTTAATGGCACCTTTCCTCCTAAGAACCCAAAGTGCTTCTGCATAAATGATCTCTCTGCTCTCAAGCCTCCAATCCCTGTAGAAGCTAGTGTTACATCCATCTTGTGAACGGAGACGTCAGAACACACACAGGGAAGTGTCTGATCCGGTTGTTCAGTTAGTGGTTGAGCTTGCAATTGCATTAGGAACATTTGCTCTAACTCCAAACCCGCTGCTCTGCGCTTAGCCTGTGCTCCGCTAGCAGCCTCCTGAATGGAAATTTCATTTATGAACACACATTCAGATTTTCATTAGTTCTGTCTTAGTTTTCATTCAGTGTGGAGGATTTTAACTTGTTGGCTACCTTGTTATAAACCTGGGAACCTGTATAAATTGTTACAAAGGGCAGTGCAGCACCAGATCTGTGTTTGCCCATGCTGTGGCTGCCAGAAGGCTCTTCTTCTCTCCAGGTTTATAGCCTTTCTCCAAAAAGCCATCCAGAATGTCCTTAAGAGTTCATTGGGGTGACAGTAGGGCATACAACTGATGTCCTACAGGTCATTCTGTATAAGACAGACAGAAGGTTTTCTTCCTTGATGCTGAAGTGGCCTTTTTCGTCTCCCACCTTGAGTTGAAAGTAGTGAGGAAAAGTGTTGACAATGACAAATAAAGCACAGGGCTGTAACTCAGTAGTAGAATGGCTGCAGAGCACTGTTCAGCCCTCAGTTCTGCCCACCTCCCCGTTCCATTCTCTCTGTGTCATGACGCTAAGTAGGCACTAGTAGAATTCCAGCTGTGCACATGAGAAATTGACTCTTGGGAGGAACACCAAGATTCCACAGTCAAAAGGTGGCGCAGCCAGCTCTGAACCACCAGTGCTATGGACAATGGCTCTATAAGAGCCTTGTCCTGGGCATCTGTCCTCCTGAAGACTGCTGTTCCCACCTTGTCCAGACCCCCCTTTGTGGGAAACAAGCACAGCACACCCACTATGACAAAAGCTAGGCTCGGAGGCCTGGTGCTCTTCTCTTCTGTTTCTGTCTGTGGGGGAAATGACGGGGAGAAGAATAAAGTGGATCAAAGGCTGCAGTAATCGGGTGTGCTTCTTGATCTGGGGTTTGACTTAATCGATTGTCAGTGGTGCCTAGAAAATTGAATCCAAATTGATTATGACACCATGTTTTGTGTTGGTTAATTCTTATGAGCTCATTGAACTCAATATAGGTAATTATACAGAATAATATATGCATGATTAAGAAAGTGTTAGCCATCCTGTTTATGAAAGGGAATAAGTAAAATCAGTCATGATTGTGGGTAGCGCCTTTGAAAAAGTACTGTGTGTGTTACACAATCTGTGTGCATTGTCTTATTTGTCTTTTAATCTTTTGTAAGTTAAAAATGCTATCTTAGAAAGCTGAGGCTTATAGAGTTTAAATTATCCCCTTGACTGAGACTAGCTATACAAAGGAGCGGCAAAGGCTAGACCAAGCTAGCCCGGGAGTGGGGTTCTTACCCCCAAGCTTTGCTTGGCAGACTGTCAGGGTGGAGAGCAGAGGTACCCCAAGCCTGAGGGAGCGAGTATAATAGGAGAACGGTAGATGGTGAGCCACTGGCTGGGGCTCTTTCTTCTGTGTAAATGAAAGTGTGACACTCTGCTCTCCACGCACTCTGTGAGACTAAACCATCTGTGTCCCATTTCCACTCGCAAGCACATGCCATCTTCCAAATACTTCCTGACATTTTTTCCTACTTCCTAATATTTCCCTGAAGGATTCAAATGGCACGCTAAGGATGTTTATAGCTTTTGTTTGACTGCTGTAGCTCCAAGTTGTGGAAGATTGAGGTGCAGTAGGATTTGGAAGTTATTCTTCACACCGAAACTCCAAGCCCAAAGCCCTGAACTGCATCTGAACAGGTCACCCATGAATCGTTTTATGCTAGCAACATCCTGTCATTATATTATATTTCTCAGGTTCTGATTTACTCTTAGCATTTAGGACCTCATTATCCCATTACACTACCCAAAGCAAAGAACAGTCTAGGCTACCTGATCTAGGGAGCAGTGCTCAGTTTGAACCATCCAGATCTTATAACAGTAAGTTGTGTTTCAGAACAAATCACAGTGTTTTGAATCTTTTGGGCTTCCCTGTCAGGATCATGGGATTTGGTCTGCGCCCTTCTTCCTGTGTCATCTGTAAGGTAGTCACCATGGAGACTGTAAACCCCCAGTGTGGCACTCTCTCTTCTCCTCAGAAAGCAGCATCTCTGTGGAGGTGGCCAGCAATGCCAGCGTCATCCTTGAGGGTGAGGACCTGCACTTCTCCTGTAGTGTTCGCACAGTGGGCAGATTGCAGGGCCGCTTCTCTGTCATCTGGCAGCTTGTGGACAGGCAGAACCGCCGCAGCAACGTCATGTGGCTAGACCGGGATGGCACCGTGCAGCCAGGCTCATCCTATTGGGAGCGCAGCAGCTTTGGGGGCATCCAGATGGAGCAGGTGCAGCCCAACTCCTTCAGCCTGGGCATCTTCAACAGCAGGAAGGAAGATGAGGGCCAGTATGAATGCCATGTGACGGAGTGGGTACGGGCCGTGGATGGAGAATGGCAGATCGTGGGAGAACGCCGTGCCAGTACCCTTGTCTCCATCACAGCTCTTGGTGAGTGAGCAGTGGGACCATGTCAGATGCTTTTGTGTCAGGCTCCTTCTCTTCTTAGCAGTGTTCTGGTTGGAGGGAGGGCCTGGGGAGATGCCTCAGTGGTTAAAGTGTTTATTCTGTAAGCATGGAGATCTGGAATTCAGGTTCACAGAACCCCAGTAAAGTGTTGAGTGGGCTGGACATCATGCCTGTAATTCCAGCCTCAGAAGCAGACATGGGCTCCTTACAGCAAGCTAGTTATCGAGAGCAGCCATACCAGTGAACTCTGGGTTTGATTAACAGACCCTGCCTCAACGAATAAGGGGAAAGAACAATTGAGGATTCCTGACATCAATCTCAGGCCTGTGCATGCATGCATATACACATACAACCACATACAAACATACATATACTCATATATGCATCTCAACACACACACACACACACACACACACACACACACACACACAGTAAAAAGGGAAACAAGTTCTGACTGGAGATAATGGTATCTTCTAGAGGTTTTCCTTGAAGGGACTCTAGGTGAGTATGTGCAGAGCTGAGGAAACTAACAGTAGATGGGGGGTGACATACGGGCTAGTGACTCCTGTAGGCTGTTACCACCCCTGGAGCTGGGGGTGTCAGGATTCTAGCCAGATTAGTGTCAGCAACTAGCAGGACATGGCTGTGGCAAAACTGGCCTGGAAGACAGAAATGACCAGGTACAGTGACGAGTTTCTTCTGTCTGTAGGGTGTCTTGCCCAGCTGCTCACAGCCCAGCCCTCCCAAAAGTGGCTGAACAGGATGGAAATCCCATTGCCAACAATACAGCATTTGCCCTGTGTCTCAGCACTCATCTCAGTTGTCCCATTTAGTGTGTTTTTATCTCCTCCTCTGTAAAGCCCCCCACTTAAGAAAAAAACATTTCCTCATTTGCACGGAGCGAAAAGATACCTTGAGATTTGCAGAAACCAAGTAATATTAGATTTGCTTCTCACGGGGTATCCAAAACGGCTTCTACCCGTGTTATCTGCCAGATGTAATCGGTCTATCACATTTTAAAAGACCAGCCTGCTACTTTGCTGGGAAGATAACTTATTTTGTCAGGCCTTCTGTTTGTCAAGAAGCTTTGTCAGTCCCCATTCCCTCAGGTAAGGCTGGTGATGCTGTTGAGCACCCAATAAAGATGACAGCACAAGGTAGAGCTGCTCACAATCAAGTCCGTGTTCTCCCTTCCAAGATTAGGATTGCATTTCCTTTATTCTTAAATGTCTGTTTTCAATTGTCTGGTAATAAAACTTTTTCCATTCGATCTTTAAACCCCCCATGTCAGGGCTTCCTTCAGGCTGCCTCGAAAAGGGGAAAGCTACATGCCACATGGATCCTTGAGCTTTTCAGGGTAGCAAGGTGTCTCCTCAAACAAGACATTCAGTAAAAAGAAAGAAACACGCAGTAGGGAAAACAGTAAGCTGCTCTAGACCCCTGGTGTTCTGTGGTGCCGTTTGGTCAGACTGGCTTGCTGTCTGGGACTTGGAATGGACACAGCATCATGTAAACCCAGATGCAGCCTGTGTCTTCATCCACCTCACTGCGATTGCATCTGCTTTCTGAAAGCTTCATACGAAAGATGGGCTTGCCTTCTGCAGTCATGAGGCAGCTCAGATTCCTGTTTCTGGAAACTTCCTCCAGTGATGATTGCAGTGTCTGTTGCCTATGTTTGGCACTGCTGTGGACTCAGACAGGGTAACTTGCGAGATGGTTCTGGGATCTGCTACATGTAGTGTTTTTGTTTTTGTTTTTTTTTTCCATCCTGGGAGGTTAGGGGTATCAAGGCGAGGGTGATTCAGGGTTCTTTCCCTGGAAGTAATTTTTACACTTTTAGTTTATTTGTCCTGGGAGTATTCTTAAACTCCTCCCACAGCCAGGGCAGGCTGAATAGTCTTGTTCCCCAGAATCCGGAGGCTGGATCTGCTCACTTGACAGTCTCTCTAGATCCCCTTTGGAACTGGGACCATGGTTGTCCTGCCAGCCATAGTCTTTTATCTAAATTAAACAGAGACACATAAAAATTTCTGTGTTGCTACAATTAGGTATGGATCTCCCTCAGTGGTGACAGATGTGTGGATGAACTAATAGGGTGCCCGCACCACAGAGCATTGTGTCTGTGGAGGGTTACCTCAGCCACGTGCACTGTGGTCTGTGTCCACAGTGTAGGCCTGTGTTGGGCCTGGGCACCATGGCTTCATATGTGAAGCCAGGAACACCCAGTGCAGGGCCTGTTCCCTGGCATCTCTAACCTGCACCACTCTTGTGGCATGTGTGCTACACACCACTGCCTAAGTGACCGTCACAGCCACACAGGGTCAGTCTCTGTGTCTTCAATTTTTAAATTGAAGATCCATAGAGTTCAGCAATTTTTGACAGCCTATTCTCTAACAATTCCCTGGGGAAATCCTGAAGACTCTTTGTATGCCTCGTGTTTCATCGGCAGACTTTACAGTATTTCATCCCTTTGGTTTCTTAAACAAGCTACATATTTTCTAGACAATATACAGTGTGCTGCATATTCTTTCAACCTTCACAAGGGCCCTTTATGGAAAGGAAAACAGAGGCAGAGGGGGTTATTTGCTTAATGTCACGCAGCTAGGAAGTGTCCCAAGAAGCTGACTGCCTACAGAGTTGGTGCCTTTGACCAGGCAAAGCAACCCCAGGTAGCCCTGGAGTGAGGTGCACATAGGTCTGTGGCCTGACTCTACCATTTACTACACTCAATATCAGGTAGTTTACTTGACTTCTCTGCACCTGTAAAAGGGGTGGGTGGAAAGCCTGTCTGAACTATAAGTGTTGATCCAGTGAGAGGGGTAAAGGTGGAGCCTTCGACACCAGGCTTGGCATGCAGCATTCAGCACATACTGCCACCCTTACTGCTTTGATCATAGCCGAAGTGTTCATCCACACTGAAGGAACTGTGAGTCCTTGCACTGGAAAATGAGTGTTAGAGGCCAGAGATGCTTTCCCATCAGTAAGGAATATTGAGAGGCCACAGCCCACTGAGACTGCAGGGACCTTAATTTAGGAATGATGCCTCACTCTACCTCAGGTGTCCATCTGCTGAAGACCAGGCCCTCCTGTCCTTTGTCCCTTACTACCTTTCTAAACCTAGGTTTTGTTGGGGAATTAGAGGAGGGGTTGGCAGGCTTCTCCACCTGCCTGTTTCAGGATGTCATGCACTAGAGGACCAGGGACAGGTATCTGTTGGGTACGTGCAATAAAGGAAATTGGCTATGGAAGGTTTTTGTTTCCTTCCAGTTTTGCACAGAATCCTGGGATTGCTAGGAATGATCCTGGCTGTGTGGTATGAGCCCTGGGAGGGCTCTGGTGTCTCACCCTAGAGGAGGATGTACTGTAAACCCACATGAGGATCTTAGGTGTCACTGGGAGGAAATAGGGCTGGGTTGCTCAGAAGAATAGGCCAGTCCCTCTTTGCATGAAGTCTTAAGAAGAATCGTGAGTTGGGTCTCAACACAGTACCTAAAGAAATAGCTTGCTCATGACAAGCAAGCTTGAGAACTTGCAGCCTCTGCTCTGACTGCCAGCTTTGCCAGGAGGCCCATATTTGATGACACACTGCCCCAGAAAAGCAAGATGCTGTCTCTTCTTCATTTCTCTGCTCTTCCTGCAGAAACGGGCTTTGCGGTCACAGCCATCTCCCGGACGCCAGGAGTGACCTACAGCGACTCCTTTGACTTGCAGTGCATCATCAAACCCCCCTCCCCTTCCCGAGTCCCCGTGTCAGTGACATGGCGGTTCCAGCCAGTGGGCACACTTGAGTTCCATGATCTGGTGACCTTTACTCGGGATGGAGGGGTTCAGTGGGGAGACAGGTCATCCACTTTCCGGACTCGGACTGCCATCGAGAAGGCTGAGTCCAGTAACAATGTCCGCCTGAGCATCAGTCGGGCCAGTGACACAGAGGCAGGCAAGTACCAGTGTGTGGCAGAGCTGTGGCGGAGGAACTACAACAACACCTGGACAAGGCTGGCCGAGAGGACCTCCAACCTGCTGGAGATTCGGGTACTGCAACCAGGTAGGTGTTCAGGCTCCAGGGTCTCCCTGCTGTAGGGCCTATGTGTATCTACACAGTGTGGTGAGACACTTGGGTGTGTGCTTATGTGATCTGGTGGGACTGTGAGGATGTATGCTTATGTGGTAGGAGACATGATATATTGTGGAGTGACAGAGTGAGGCAGGGGGATGGCTGCTTATGTGATACAGTGAGACACAGGGATGTGTGCTTACATGACACAAGACATGAAGTTGTGTGCTCATATGACATGAGATACTAATGTTCTTACCTGACATAGTATAGTATGTGAAGGCATGTTCTTCCATGATACATGAGCCATGAGGATGCCTGTTTATGTGATATGGTAAGGCATGAAGGGCATATGCTTGCAGTACTGGGAGATGTGAAGAAAGAAGGAATGTTCTGAGCCCTGGTGCAGCATCTGTTTCCCAGCCCTGAGAAATTTAGTCACAGGGACTCCTTTCCTTGGTGGACAGGTCATGTCTTACTGTACATGTTTTCTGCTTGCTGTGTATACCCCCCCTCCCTTGCATTCCAGAGTAGGTGGAGGGCACTAGGACATTTCATAGATCCTCCAGCATGTGACCCGTAAGAACAGGACATTGTCCTACCCAGCCACAACCCCATTGTCGTACTCTGGAATTCAGCATTGGTACAGTTTTATTACCCACAATTCCCTAGTTGTCTCATCAGTGTTCTTCAGGGTAACCCCCCACCTCCAAGAAGACCTCAGTTAGGGATCATATGGCACTTTGAGTTATATTATCTCTTTGCACTTTTCTTAATCTAGAATGGTCACCAGCACCCTCTTCCCCCTGTGTTAAGAGATTGGCATTAAAACATGGGCAGCCACTTCAGTTTTTAAACCGGTCTCTTATCCTGGCAGTAACTTTGTGGGGTAGGTTTCCTTGTCTGCTATTTAGATAGAGGAACTTAGAGGAAAAAAGGAAGGCAGTGGCATTTGTTGAGCTTCTTTGCCCCATAGAGAAGAACAGCCCTTTGATTAGAATTTCATATTCCCTAGAAGAATTAAGGGGCTAGCCTGAAGTTGTGGGGCTGGTCGCTGAAGGAACCATGTGGTCTTTTTCTGTAGTCTTCTTTTGGCTGAGTTTGAATTTCTTTGTCTTCTGGGAGCCCGTTCATCCTGAAGGCACTAACTTGAGGAGTGTTCTGCAGTGGGGGTTCCTCCAGACACCTTTATTAGATTGTCATATGGTTTGAGGAGTAACTTGAATTTTTCTGTCTGTCCTTGTGGCTGGCTAGGTTGGAACCTGATGGAACAGCCCGCCCAGTCTAGGATACTGCACCCCCAGAATAGAAGAGGCACCCACACAGCCAATGGTGGTGGATAGACCCTATACATAGTTTTTTTTTTTCCCCTGTCTTTCTGACCCACTCACTTTGCAAACATGGTTTGGACCTGTCCTACTGTGATTAGTGCCCACCAGGTCACTGCAGAGGGCCACAGATGGGGGGAAGTTTGCAGCAGTGTGAGGTTAAAACGTGGTAAGTTCTGAGCTTCCCCTTCTCCTTGCCTGACCCCATCACAGAGGCCTCTTCGTTACCACATTTGGAACAAATGGGCTTTCTAAATGTTGAGTCTGTATCTGGCCAATTAGAGTTGAACTGGGCCAACAGGATGCTGAGGAAGAGGCCGTTCTTCAGTGGATGTTCAGGTTAATGGAGGGTTAATCGGAGACCCCATTTGCTGTAAGCACTTGTGGAAGATGTGGAGATACATACCAGCTGCCTTACGGAGCAGAGTACTTATGGATGGTAATTGTGCATTTTTGTTGTCTGTCATTCAAGGTCAGTGTTCTGAGCAGCAGTACCTGTCACGTGATTTTGCAGCTTGGGGAGGTAGCAGAGACAGTGACCCTCAGGCCTGGCTTACCATTGCCCCTGTGAATAAGCCCCTACTGTTTGCTTGTTTCTGTTACTACTTGGAATCAACTAGAGCCCCAAAGCACATGTGTACACTTAGTTCATTAAGTTTCTCATTGCTTGGATTCTGATTCAAATTTATGGTGACCTCTTTGACCACTATGAGCGTGACAAAGGCTAGTTAAGTGGCGGAGCTGAGTCTCAGCCTGAGATGAGAGCCCAGATCCCTTTGACTCCACATATCTGCCTTTTCCATCTTACCATCTTATTGGCTCCCATCACTGCAGGGTTAGGACTGCCTTCATGTCACATACACATGGGAGTGAGGGGCAAGTCCTACTTTCCAAACTTGGACTGCCATTGAGAAGGCTGAATCCAGCAACAGCCTCTGCCTGAGCATCAACATTCCACTGAGACTACTTGTGGTTTCCCTGGGAAGTGACTACAAGTAGTGGTTGACACTGGGGACTTTTGAGCATTCCAAACTGCCACCATCTTTAGGAGGCTGCTGGGCCTACCTGCAAAAGGTAGCTATACCTGGGCTTGTTGGCGCTTGACTTTGCCTCATTGAATGAGGGCAAGGAAGGGGTCATGGGACCCTCACCTGAGTTTCCAGGAACCCCTCCCAACTAGTTGTATTGCAGTTCTGCATTGATTGCCAGTGGTCCCATGGGCAGGCTAGAGTAGACTACATCTACACAGGTGTGGTAAACCACCATCCCTTCGGAGTACAGACCTTCCAGTGTGACTGCTCTGCAGTTGTCCCTGCTCCTGTCTTTAACCCCTCACCTACTGCTCTGTAAGTAAGTTGAATAAAATCACTAATTCTTCCAGGTGAGCTTTGGTAGTGTTGGATTCTGATTTGTTATTGGGACCTTAAGGTGAGGGGGAGAAGTGTCACTTTGTCCTTCCTAGGGCAAAGGTTCTGGCCATAGCTGTCACAAGGCCCACTCTTATAGGTAGACAGAAGCATATATGCTGGCCCTCTGGAGACTGGGAAGAGCAAAGGGAAGCCATGGAGCAGCGTGTGGTTCCCAGTGTGGCTAAGGCGCCACAGAGTGCATCTTGTAAGTGGTAATTATTTATGCACTTATCACTGAATACTTGCAGAGAGCTTCTCCCTAAAATGCACCAGCTAGTGCAGTTTTGTTCATTTGGGGACAAGGAGACTGTGTGCTGGAGACAGTATTGGGGCCTTGGCGTGTGCTCTCTTACTGGGTCTTTGTGTCAGTAACCCCAGGAGGAAAGTATTTAGTTTCCATTTGATGAGTGAACAGTCAAACAGTGCCCCGCCCCCAACTTCACCACCATCAGCAGTGAGTGGGAGATTGAAGTTTGAACCCAGGTATGACTTAAGGAAAAGCACTGGTAGTGGAAAGACTGCCCTTTTTTGGAACAGCGTAATCACATCTTGCTCCTTCTGCATTCAACCTCATGACATCCTTTATGGAGGATATTTTTCCTTGCAGGTCCCTTGTGTGTGGAAGCAGCACACTAGGTAGGATTAATAACAGTAGCAGGGTGTGGCTGTCACCATTGTAAACGCCTTACTTCTGATAACTTACTTCATTCTTCCTTAACCCATGTAGGGTCAGTGTGTGGGTGCCTGACACAGCTTACAAAGGAGGACTCTGCCACCCAGGGTGAATAAGTTGCCCAGTGATTCATGAGTGGCAGAGCCAGGATTCAAGCCTAAACAGGCAGTCTGGCTGCAGAGCTAAATTTTGAATTTTATTATATTATGTACTTTGTAGACAATGAGCCAAATTTATACTTGTTTTCTTCTCCCTCCTGGCATCCTTTAGTACAATGTGTGTGCGCGTGCGCATGTGGTGTGTGTGTGTGTGTGTGTGTGTGTGTGTGTGTGTGTGTAATGCAGGACTTGGTGTGTACTAAGCATTTTACTCCCAGGCTGCACTCAGCACCAGGCACTTTCTATGGGTCCCCTGTCTGGTTTTGCCATCCAGATTCCCTGGATCTTTGCTTTGTAAAATTAAGGTCACAAAGCATTTGGAGCTTCCTTGAGTTGAAGACAAAAGGTTCCTTTATTCTAACTTCTGCCACAAGGTGGCTCTAGGACCAAGGGGTCACCAGTGCCAGACTCCTTCCTCCCACCCTCCCCATGGAGCCTTCCCCTCCAAGCCTGGGTTAGCATCTTCCAAAGTGATGCTATCCACCCCTAAAGACTATTTTAGTGAATGTTCTTATCTGAGGAGAATCAACAAGAACCCAGGCACTGGTGACTGGTACAGTCCATTTATCATCAGCTTCCACCGCTGCCAAGTCCTTTGTCTGAGTAAGTGACAAAGTACCCAGACTGCTTCCTTCTAGAGCCACTGGTGGTGATCACATCACTGCTGTTTACTTCACCCAGCTCCCTGGTTAACTGGCATGGGTGACTTGCTGTCAGAAGTGAGTTGCCATGGCTTTATCATTGGCCACTTCCAATCCATTGGCATGCTTAGGATCCTGTGATCCCCAAGGCAATTGTTAGCCTCCCTTTCTGTCCTCTATTTTAGTGGAGTCTTACCTGAATGATCCCATACTGTGATCCCATGGGGCATTTAGGCAAGACTTGGCCAATCCAGTGCGCTCCATTCTCGTTCAGGTTTTTTTTTTTTTTTTTTTTTTTTTCTTTCGACTGTGAAGCATCATCTTGCTTCCTTTTGATTTCCTTCAGTTCCAAAAACACCCTCCAATTTCACATGGCTAAATACAGAAGCAATAAGGGAAATGTCAGCATTCACTTTGCGAATGTTTATGACTATCCCTTGGTCTGGCTATTAAATATTGTGCATTAAAATTGACAAAGCAATAAACAAGCCTCCAGGCGGACAGCGTCCGGTGGTAGAAGGCTGCTTGTCAGTGGGTGTATTCTGCTGGGATCGGACTGATGGGCAGGTGGATGAATATTTAATGCCCTCTGCATGTTGCCAAATCCGTTTTCTTTGCATTTGCGTTGCTGACCTGGCAGATTGGGCTAGCTGAGGGCCCTTTCTCTGACTGTGGGAGTCGGGGTATGTGAACATGGGCTGTCCTTGTCAGATAAGTGGCTCTGCATTTTCCCAGGGCAGCCTCGGTTCTCATCCTTCCTCTCCACACAGCTTCTGCCTACT